CTTAACGATCTATTTGGAAATTAAATAGAAAATGAAATTGAATGGAGATGGAAATTGAAGAAGGGGGGAAAATATATAATGATAGGAATGGAAACTGGAAAAAGAAAAGATAATGATAATAAATAAAAAAATAAAAAAGAAAAAGAAAAAGAAGAGAAGGATGATGATGTTTTGGGTAAAATAAAGAAAAGATGGTCAAAAAAGAGTAGGCTTGTCGGGCTATAATCTATGATTACAAAAGGAAGAAAATATCATCTCAATCTTGGTGCTCAAATTGGTGGAGTGGGTTTCAAAGGTGGTGGAGAAAAGAAAGAAAAAAAAACAGAATTTGAAATTTAGTTTTGGGTATTCGGACCAGGATTTAAGACAAATTTGTTGGGTCTATTTTGGTATATAATTGGACCTTGTTTGACTTATGGGTAAGGCCCATGATTTAGATTTAATTTAATTTGAACTTGTTTATGACTCGTGTTTAACTGTTTGTATAACGACTGGGTCTTTCCTTCTCTCTTTTCCTCTTTTCTTCTCCTTTTCTCTCCCTCGTTGCTCAATTCTTCTTTTACTTTTGTTGGGTTTGAAATATCCGAAAATAGTCCTCTAGATAAAATTATTGCTTTTGTTTTGCTCGGTATTGAATTCCACTGGTTCCAGAGAGCGTAAGGTCAAGTCTAGAGTGCTCGGGGATCGAACCAACAACTTTTCTAGACTGGTTGCCTTGTCGCACATGCGGGGGCCTAGGGTCGCAAGTGCGGAAGAGGGGCCGCATGTGCAGATTTCAGAGGGAGCTGGGGGCTGCACACTTCTTTAATTGCAGGTGCGGAGAGGCTGGTGCGGGAACAGCCGCACGTGCGAGGATCAGTGCCACACGTATGGGAGAGGGCAACCGCACGTGCAGGACAGGCCTGAGTTCGAAATTCTGTTTTTTATTTCTCTTTTGGCCGAGCTACATCTCATTTGGGGCATCACTCTCTCACTCTAAAACACCATTTTACTCCACCTTCTCTCTAGAAAACCTCCTCAAACACCAAAATACTTTGATTCTTGTAACCTTTGGGTCTAGATCCTCTACATTCCACACCAATTTTGAAGATCCAAGTTAGGGCTTCTTTGAGAGGGCAACTGCACGTGCGGGGAGCGTGCCGCACATGCGGGACAGGCCTGAGTTCGAAATTCTGTTTTTTATTTCTCTTTTGGCCGAGCTACTTCTCATTTGGGGCATCACTCTCTCACTCTAAAACACCATTTTACTCCACCTTCTCTCTAGAAAACCTCCTCAAACACCAAAATACTTTGATTCTTGTAACCTTTGGGTCTAGATCCTCTACATTCCACACTAATTTTGAAGATCCAAGTTAGGGTTTCTTTGGGTGTTGTGGAAGAGTTGAAGAGTTTTCCAATCAAAACTAGGGTTTTATCATCTTCTTCATCAAGATCTTAAGGTAGGGAAATCTCCATGAGTTATATATATATATATATATATTTATGTTAGATTTGGTTAGTTTTGAAAGGTCCCATTGATGGTATTAAATGCTTAGATTTGTCTCATAAATGCTATGGTTCCAAAAATGGGTTCTTGATCTCTCTTTTTCTTAACTCTTTTCTCTTGGAGCTTTTAACTCATATAATAGTAGGTGTGTTATTTTGAGAGAAAAACCCTTTCAAAAGAGGGGGAAAATGGTTGTTTTGGGCTTTTGCCTTAAACCCTAGAAAATATTTTTGGGGATTTTGAAAGGTGAAAACATGTTTAGAGATATCTTGTTGTTTCAAAGATTAAAGAGTGAAACTTTCATCACATTGTGTAGCATAGTGGTAATTTACCTAATGTAGGAGAAAGAGTTATTATCTTAACATTATCGTTGAACATTTGGAAGTTTATTGTTGTGAAATAATAAGTGGTTGTGCACCTTGGTTAGAGAAAATTGTGAATATTGAAATTGTGAATTGAGAACATCGCATGTGATTTTGGAGAAGCTAAATTGTTATAAATTGAGCATGAATAAATGTTGCTATAACTATGAATGGATGGTATGGCCATTGGTGAAATGATGTTGGGGAGATGTAATGAGTAAAGTGGTGAATTGATTTTGTTGTAAAAATGTTTTGAAATGGAAAGATGTTTGAGATATTTATATTGCATCATGTTCTCATTTGATTCATCGTTATTATTGCACACTCATCATCTTGTTAATTGAGAAGATTTATACTATAATGAGAACTATGAAACTGTGTATGGCGTAAATACGGTGGTAAGTCCGATAAGGAGGTGTAGATGAATTTGACAAGTTGGCCTGAGTGTCCATGGTGAAAGACCAGAAAACCGCACGGATAGGTGTCGAGCCTTCCTGTTAATACTGGTAAAAATGACAGTTTGGTAGTACTCGTAGAGTCTACTTGCAAACACCAGCCTAGGGATTACCTGTGTCGTATTTACCGCCTCTTGTGAATTAAAAGTTTAAATTTGGAAATTTATGAGATTGCAATTGTAGATGAAATACATGGTGTTTCTCAAGAAAGACATGACTAATGGTTTGAAAAGGTATTGCATCGCATTTGCACTTGCATTTAATTTTGGCCATCTAACATAAACGTATATACTTTGTTTGGTATTTCTCTACTGGGCTTTATGCTCACCCCTATGGGATTTGGTGCAGGTAAAGATGTTGTGGTTCCGCCAAGCTAAGGGTGGGGACATGTTTGCTGAAGAGTAGATCACTCTTCCTTTTGTTGAAATTTTTGTAAAGCCTAGGGCTAATTTGGTATGGGTCCGAGAGACCGTTTTGTGTGACTGGGCTATTGCCTTGGAATTTGTAAGCCCATAAGGGCATTTTGATGTTTGAGATTTTAGTGTTTCACATGCTATACATTCATGTAACCTTTATGTTGTGAATTTATATTGCATGCGGAACTTTTGATGTTAAACCCAGTTAGTGTATATATATATGAGAAGATGGAAGGATCTTTGTCAGATTTTAGTGAATGCTTGTTACTATGGCAATTCCATGTTAATTATTTTTGGGGTGTGACAGTTTGGTCCTTTTTAATTAGGTAATTGGTAGTAAACACATTGGAAGTTGTTATTATTTATTATATAGGATTATAATAAATATTTGATAGTTCATTTTATGGTGTGTACCATATGGTGAAAAATTATATACTTTTATAGTGAATAAAATGGGTGTATATTTCGTGGTGAGTAAAATATTATATTTTGTGGTGTACAAAATATTATATTTTGTAATGAGAAAAAAATTTATATCATTTTATAATTTATATTACAAAATTTTGAAATATTATTACAATATATATTGTACTAGTTAATGGGTTGAATAATACAAAAATAAATAAAATTTTGGAAGATGTGTGTGTTGGGATGTGCGTTGTGGCAGAGCCCATGTGGGCGGTCTCTTCCTTTTCCCCCTTTTCCTCATCTCCTTTACTTCCATCTTTCTTCATTCTTGTTTTTATTTTCGTTGAGCAAAGGCTCTGCTCTTCTCTTTCTCTTTCTTATATTTCATGAAAGCTCAATCTTTGAGCTTGAAATGGGAGTCTTTAGAGTGAGATTTTGCCAAAGTGTTGTACATAAAAGTCGGAGAGCTCGTCGTGATCTTCGCAATGGTGATCTCGGATCCATGATCGGGTGATGTTTGCATTTTCAGACTAGCTTTTCTTCATATTTGAGGTAGGGACTTTCTTCATATTTTTACATTAATGCTAGGTTAGGGTCATTTTGAGAAAATATATCATTCTAAGAGGCATTGTATATATATATATATATTCATATTTTTGTTTGGTAATTTTTGGAAGAAAAATTATGTTGAAATGTTAAGAGTGTTGGCATTTTGAGATTGATTTGGGAAAATCATTTTGTGTTGATAATTTTGCAAAGAAATCCGAAAATAAAATTTAATAGTTGTATGGATTGTCTCTACATCATATTATGATTAGATGATTTATTTTGAAAAATATAAAGTTGAATTTTTTTTATCTTTGATTTGGAATTTATTTTTTAGAAAAATAAATTAATGTTGAAGAATATGGAGAAAATGCTTAAGTAGGAATTATAGAGTTACTTTGGGATTAAAAACTCTAAAAGTGTTATATTCATGATATTTTATAAAAGATGATAAGTTGATGATTAAGTTGTGTCCATTTTTATGAAAATAAAAATGTGAAATGTGGACTTTCAAATTCATAACCTTGAAAATGTTACTATTGGGCATATTTCATAATTTTTAATGTAAATAAATATCATGTTGGTTAAGTAATTTTTGAAAAAGTTGTGAAATTATTATTAGTAGAGAATTTGGTAAAAAATATTATCTCTTTAAATAGCTTTGCATGAAAAATGGTTATGTTGAAATATAATTATATATATGTTTTTGCAAGATCTAGATGATTTTCAAAATCATCATTTGATTTATTTTGAAAATTAATTGTTGATTCAAGAAGATGAGAGATTTTTTGAAAGTGGGTTTACTTTCTTGTTCCTTTTAAAATAGAAATTGAGGGTTTTGAACTATGAGGATTGAAGAGAGATGTTTTTGATGACTTTCTTTCAATAAATGAAGATGAGTGATTTTGGTGAGAAAACCTAGAAATTGGGAATTTTTAAGAAAGATGTTGACAATCTTTGAAGATGTTGTTATATTTATTTTGGGTGCTAAAATAAATGATTTTTGAAAAATGATTTATTTGTTTACATATAAATGATGATTTTTATGGAATATGAGAATTGTTGAAGTTTTGGAAATTATTGTACAAAATGTTGATATAGTCTTGAAGTGACTAAATGGTTGAGATTACTCTAAGTGTGGGAATTATGTTGTCCTATGGGATGCCAAGCATCTCGGTATTTATATTCATCTTGAGAAATTATATTGAAATAAGAAGTACCAGTTGCGGAGCCTCCTCCGGCTGTCCCGTTCTCGATTCGCTTTGACGGGAGATGCACCCGGCGACCACGGGAGACATTCGGAATGGGAATATTGTGTGGAAGTATTGAAAGTGGAAGAAATATTGCATTGTATTATTAATCATTGCATTAGCATAACAATTCATTTGATAATGATGAACTTTGAAATATGATTTGAAAACTTTGAATTGAGAAAGGAATGTTGGGAAATAAGTTTTCATGAAATAATTTTGGGATAAATACGGTGGTAAGTCTCGAAAGGTGGTGTAGATGATAGGTGTCGAGTCTTCCAGTTAATATTGGTAAAAATGATAAATTGGTAGTACTTGTATAGTCTACTTGCAGACACCAGCCTAGTGATTGAAAGGTGGTGTACATGATAGATATCGAGCTTTCCAGTTAATACTAGTAAAAATGACAAATTGGTAGTACTTGTATAGCCTATTTGCAGACACCAGCCTAGTGATTGAAAGGTGGTGTACATGATAAGGCCGAGCCTTCTAGTTAATACTGGTAAAAATGACAAATTGGTAGTACTTGTATAGTCTACTTGCAGATACCAGCTTAGGGATTACCTGAGTCATATTTACCATCTTGGAATTTTATTGAAATTGTTAGATTAATGTGTTTTTTTTTTTAAATGGCATTGTGCGTAAGATTTTCAAAAGATGAGAAAAATATTTTGAGTATGACATAACATATGCATTCATCTCATAAGACCGTATAAAATAGATTTGATGAATTGTTTAATTATTTGATTTAATTGATAATGAGATAATTGAATGAATTGAAAAGGATGTCATGTTGCTATTGAAACATGTTTATTTATTTAAGTTAACTTATTGTGGTTAATTAAATGATTGGATTTAAGAGATTATATAATAAAATCATATGGTTTTGACATGATATGACTTCTCGTATATGTATGAGTATTTTAGTACCCGCATATCTTCTAATGTTTTAATATGAGATTGCTTGGTGAGCTAGTGATTGCTCACCCCCTGCCTGTACATGTGTACAGGGAATGCTTTTCGGATTTGAAGATTAAACAATGGGTTTTACCATTTCATAAGTGTAATGTAGTGATGGATTGTATTACTTCATTTGTTGTTTGGCTGAGTGCTATTTTTTTGTAAAGAGTAGCGTCCTCTCTTTTATTGTAAGCCTCAGAGCATTTCTTTTATTTTTATGTAAATGTTATTGTTGTATAACGAGAGGGAATATGTATATTTAATTATTCATCATTTCATCGAATGATGAAATGTTATTTGTAAATGGACTTAATTAATGAATATTGGTAAAGTTATCCGAGTAATAAAATACGGGGCATTACATTAAAAACTCAAAAAACTATTTTTTTTTCTAATTTCAATGATTTATCCTTTACTATGATTTATATTGCAAAAGTTTCAATTCTAATTTTTGGATATTAAAATTTTGTGTGGTTTAGTTTTAATTTTTTTAATAAATTTTTTATAAAAATCTAAACCATAATTTAGTGAGAAAATGAAAAATATTAATAATTTTCATATAATTTTATCTTTTTGAGAAGAATAAATAATTTTTAAAAATTGGAAAATAAAAATTTGTATTTATTTTTTATTTTTATTAAATTTTTTATTTTATGAAAGATATTAAAAATTATTTCTGAAAAGTAAACCAAACCTGGCTTAAATGTTTAATAATAGATACTGTGTGAGTGAATTTCCGACCACACTACCAACTCAGTATTCAGCTAGAGAATATTGGCAGAATAGGATAAACCCGAATGACCTGCAACAGAAAGAAGAGATTCTGGTGGTGGTTCGTCCACCCGGGGGCACTCCGATGATTAAGTCAGTAATCAAATATCTCTCAAAGATAATCAATAATGCCAAACTCACTGTTCTGAACATAAAATGCGTACCTTAGACCCATGGGGGCGACTCTCTTTTATAGCCAACTCAATCCTAGTCCCAATAGAAGCCTAGCTTCAATGGACTTCTGCTCAGTGCTTATCTTGGACTCTCCAATAGATAAAGATGAACTCCCTAAGAGCTTTATCCTTATCCAAGTTGAGTCCTTTCCTCATTCTATTACTCTTGTCCCTTATCCGCTTATCCCGGATTCCGATATCATCGGAGATAACCTCGGCCTATCCGAGATCACCTCGGCGTCATGACCAGGGCACGTGGCACCTCGGTTGACACGTTGGCGTCACCTTGGCCGTATGTTGGTACTCAGAAAATATGTCCCCACAACTGCCCCCTAGGTTCTATTACCTCGACATCCTGAGGTGATGGAACCTATATCAATACTTCCTTCTAGAACGTCGACTAAGCTCGAATCTTTATTTATTGCCGAAGTAAGAACCCTTTGGCTCAGTACGGCCAAGTCCTATTACCTGTTTCCGTTAATACCTCAGAACCACTAACCAGGGTTGTTTAAATTCCTTAGCCGAGATTATCCCCTAGGCCGACATGTCTTCTATAGAACATGAATTCTAAGAGCTCCTTCACGCGTATGAGCTGTTATGCATAGTAACTCAACCGTTTAGGACACGTGTCTACCCCTTACTAGATCGTACCTGTTACGCGCCTATAAGTCGAATTTTTCTCGCGTGCGTCGTCTGACGCATACGCTCTTTTAGGCACATTAATGGCCTTTTTGCCGCCGTTTTTGTGTTTTAACAAAACTTCCTTCCTCTCCCCGTCTTTTCACTTTTCACAATTGTTTCCGAAGCTTTTTCTCTCTCTAGCCTTTTCTTCCAAATCCTCCATTGTTGCTTTCACGAAGCTTTCTGCGACCAACCTTACTCTCTCTTCCGGCGAGGCTTCTGCTGTATTTCCTTGCTTCCGGCGAAGATTTACTCCGGCTTCATTCTTCTTGGGTAAGTCACAGTTCCCTTTTATTTCAATTTCTCATTGCTCTTCAAGAAGTTTCGCTTCATCATTTGTTGCCATTGCTGTTTTTCTCAAGTATTTGATTTATGAATCATGTATTCGAGCACATTTACCTTATGCTTTTGTTTTTTCCCAATTTGTGTCTTGAATATGCACACACTATTCACAAAT